ACTTAAATTTATTGTATGAAAATTGATGTCGGAATTTATGTGAGCGAATTCTATCCCCATTTTTTGAACCAGATCATCAGTGATTGTGTTGCATCAAACTGGCATGAAATTCATATATTCATCCTGTTTTTCATTTCCTTGATAGATACAAGTAAGGGTAGTTAAGTATGGGTAAAAACGTCGGTAATTTATTAAATTATCAAATGAAATTATTATTTAAATTTATTATCAAATTATTTAGCAATTAGATTATCCATCCAAATGGTTGGAGCAGCCTTCAAAGTACATAATCAGTGATCCACAAAAAATCCTATGAAATTTTAAGAAATTCTGTTTCAAATCCACAAAATATACATACAGTACAAACATACATAATGTACAAGCTAATATGCAATTATTGAAACTTAAGATGCAGTCCTGCAGAAAGGTAAGAAAAAAAGAAAATCTTAAAGTAAGACAAACAGCAAACGATTAAGTGGTAGATGTTTAAAGAGAAATAGGAATTTAACAATGACGCGATCCAAATAAGAAAAATAGCTTCTGAAAATCATGAGAAAACCAAGAAAGAACGAAAAAAATAAGCGAAGAATGCCTGTTTCAACAGCAGGAGGTAGACGAAGATCAAAATTTTACAAAATGCACATTAACTCAGGCTTTCATGCATAATTTTAAAGATGAATTTCAGTTTCGACCGTATTTCTTGGTCAGATTAATGATAAAATTCTGCTTCAACAAATTTACGCAGTTGTCGTAGAAGTGACCATCTCGGAATACATAATCTTCGAAGCTGGATGCATGAGGAAAATGGATAGTGAACACGTCTGGTAAGATGATGAACTCATAACTGGAAATACATCGATCGAAAAATTGCCGAAATGGATGACTGAATACCCGCTGAAGCTCAGTTCCATTATGTACGAGGCTGTGCTCCATTCGTATCTGATGAATCGCTCATCGTAGCGGACGACATCGCTCCGGACCACAACGAATGGCTCGAAATTTATACTCCAAGATACCTAAAAATGTAACAACGATGAAAATGCTACAAGAAAACAAAAGCCAAACCTTATAAGGTAAAGAGGCTGTTTTCCATCGATGAAGGAGAGTCGCATCATCTCCCGCGGGCGATTTTTCTTGCCTTCAAGTAAATTAAAAAATTAAGTCCTGAACAGTCAGTTAATCAATTGGTTTGGAATGTCCGTCAAGTACAGAACCATTTTTAATGAAACTACAAGTAA